TTCCAATGTATGATGTGATATTGTTCCTATATTGTTTAATACTGTCGTCTTCAACTTTAACATTATTCTGCATATATTGTACAGACAAAGATAGAGATTCAACTTTTTGATGTATTTATATTTGGTGCTCATATCATCAGGGGATATGTAACCAACCTGGATACTGGAAAAATCCAAGGCGTTTCTTTCGTCACCTCCAATGGGTAGGTCTTATTTTTTTGTTCACTTTGTACACCTGCTGGAATATATTAGGAATGCAGATCCATCATTGGTTTTAATGTAGTAATCTTTTACATGAAATTAAGCAGTGATCTAGCTGGACCAATATCAGTACACCGGAAAGCCTTACTCAATGCTTTGGCAGATCAATTGCCGATTAATTCAATCCGTTTCTCTTCCAAGCTCACTGCTATTGAGACCCAAGAACATGAAGGTTCATCCATTTCCATTATTCACATGGCAGATGGGACTGTCATCAAAGCAAAGGTAAACATAAACCAACATGCCCTGTTTATAAGTATTTCCATTTTGATGGAATGGACTTTAACTTCTCTATTCCCTTTTTTTATTTTTTTTATTTCTTCTAATTGGATTGTTATCGGCTATAGGTTCTGATAGGCTGTGATGGGATGCACTCAGTGGTGGCACGCTGGTTAGGACTTGCCGAACCGGTATATTCGGGTCGATCCGCGGTTCGTGGCTTGGCTGTGTTTCCTCAAGGCCATGGACTGGACAACAACGTGCAACAATATATAGGACAAGGAAGAAGGGCTGGTTTTGTTCCCCTCACTGACAAAGAGATCTATTGGTTTTTCACTTGCACCTCTCCAGCTAAAGGTTCAAAACATCAGACCATGCCCTTTGTTTTACTTAGTGACAACTAATTAATTTTGTCTAAAAAAATCTGCTCTATAAGAACCACGCTTGTTGCACTGTGATAATAAAGCCAAAACGTCAACACTGCTAAGCAGACTGCAGAAAATTCTGTGTAATAAATTTGATTCTCTTATAATAAGTTTTGTAAATTGTATGCTACATTTTCTATCATTGTAGGGGCAGATATGGCAGATGAACCCGAAGTTATAAAAAGAGAAGTGATTGAGAATTATGCCAAGGACCTTCCTCCTATATACCTAGACGTTGTGCAGCACTCGGATCTTTCGACATTGACATGGGCTCCACTAATGTTCAGGTATCCATGGCATGTAGTATTTGGGAACTTCTGCAAGCAAAACATCACGGTGGCTGGCGATGCCATGCACCCCATGACACCTGATTTAGCCCAAGGAGGTTGCTCAGCATTAGAAGATGCAGTGGTTTTAGGCAGACACATAGGGAAGTCCTTTATACAAAATGGACGACTGGTGCCAAAAGAGATGGCGGTTACAATTGGAAAATATGTGGAAGAAAGAAGGTGGCGCGTTGCTTTGTTGATCGCAGGTTCATATTTATCAGGATGGGTGCAGCAGGGACGGTCTGGATGGGGTATGAAGTTCTTGAGGGATGCCATATTTTACACGTTCCTTTTCCCTAAAATCATTAAATTTACAAGTTATGATTGTGGAAAACTTAATTTCTAGTGTATTTCACTGCGGACAAGAATCAATATAAACTAAGTTCCCTCCTTTGGGGAAAGAAATTATTGATGCCCTCCTCCCCAGTTTCCCAAGGATCGAAAGAGAAACAGGAATTTATAAGTAAGAACGGGTCTTTTACCAGACAGGCTACAAAAGGTAACTTTGTGCTCAGGGTATACTATTTAGTAGAATATTACAAACATGATGATTCTTCTCCTAAAGGCTGATCTCAAGAGCAGAATCTGCATATCACAAGGGCTATGAAAGTGAAATTATTATCTGTATTAATTTGTACCAACTACTATTTTGTATCTCTTTCTTGGTAGATATGAGGCCTATGCGACTCTTGTCGGGTTTAGAGTTAATAGGTTTATTTCCTTTTTTATTTTATTTTAGCACATGCAATTGGAGGAGGGGGTTTTACACAAATCTTCATTGGGTGCTTAAAGGTTGTGAACCTCTATCCACATGGGTGTAGGTGGAATAGCCCAACCAAGCAATACTTATATTGGCATACAATAAATAAAGAAAATGTATCGAATGATAAGTGACAACTAAAAGTGGAGCCAAATGTATGTCTCATACTTTGTGTCTTTTGTGAGGTTTATTAATTTGTTTGCATTATTGTTTCTAAATCATGCTCTTTATGCTTTTGGAAGTACAAAAATTGCC